CCGTCCTCGACGGTCAAAAATTCTCCGCGGACAACGAATTTCTCGAATCCGACGTCCGCGCGGACGGCCATTTTCCCGTTAATGTTCGTGATACATTTTCAATTTTTGTTATCTTACAAGAGTCTTGTAAGTTACAAGGCAGCAAAATGACCCACAATACAGCAACATACTGCGCATGTATTGATCTTTTCTTTGTCTCGGAGTACTGCAGCGGTTGAAAGGGGCTTTGCAGCAATAAACTTACAAAAAAAACACAATACGTACTGGTCTTAAGCAAGAAGCTTTAAAAGCAATTATGAACATCTACCTAAGTGGAAAACCACTTTCAGATTTCTGTTCAGAAACCTCTGTAAATCATTGGCTTGATTGTGGAACTGGCAAACGTCATATTTGATTCATTTAAAAAACGCAGTACCCTCGGATAACTTGACATTCCAGATAACTTGACCCTTGTCATTTAAATTATTTCATAAAAGAAATACTAGGTTACTATTAGTAACCAGTATTTCTTTTATTACTGTATAATGTAATCCTAGTTATTTATAATTACTTAAACTGTAAACATTCAGCATGATGTAGAACTGGCAATAGTACCATCTATTGAGGAATAAGAGAAGCATCTTTTTTCTCAGATATTTTATCACCAAAATTTCTTCAACAAATCCGGAGAAAATTGAGAATATACAAGTAAACAGGAGATAGTCGCAAAATATATAGGAGTCTTTGTTAATAAACGGGAGACTTGGCAGGTATGACAAATAATAGAATGAGAAGAATGGAAACATGGAAAAGTTTCGCTAAAAAGTGGAATTTTATGAAATAATTGAATTGTAATAGATGTTGTAATTATTTAACGATAAGGGTAACAGTAGGCTATTTAACTTAGTTTGAATTCGTGTTCAAAATTAGAAGAATTAAAAGTCCGATACTGAAAACATAAATCAGCTTTATCAAATAATTTTTCCACGCAAGTGATTAACATCTAGACTAATTTTTTTTTTAAAGAAAACTCTTACTTTACATTTCCCAATTACCCTGTGGCAGAATTGTTTTGGGCTTTCTGCGACATGCCTCTCTAATACTAATGTCTTTCTGCAAAAAACTTTTAAAAATAACATGTTACTAAATTTAAAAAACAGAAGCGTCAATTTCAAAGAAAGAAAAAAACTTTTTTAATTGAATGCGTAATATTTTTTACTACTCTAATACTATGTAGATAGTCTTGCATTTTGTAGGGGGGGGGGAAACACTAATTATTTATTTTTCTCGGCTTTTGTAAATCTTCATCCCATTAAAAAAAATCATGACAGCCGCAGCATTAACTACTGTTACAAAGATCGACTTTAAAATCACGCAAATCAGACTCTTCAAAAAGGGTTTACTAAATTCATTTTTTAGATTCAGTTGTTGTAACAAATAATACAGATTTTAAAATTTCTTTTTTTAAAACTACGTTGAAATAAATAGCAATAATTGCATAAAAAAAGGACGAAAATTTCTGCAGAAAAGAAAATCAAAGATTTTTACTTCATTACTCTTTCATAATTCTCAAGTGAGAACAGAAAAATCACTAATATTTCTTTTTTCACTCCAATGCACAAGAAAGGCATTGTTTGACTATAATTCTGTGGAGATAAGAAAATTCTTTTGAAAATTTCTGAAGAAAAGAAAACCAAAGTTTTTTTACTTCCCAAAGGAAAAATCTTTCTACAAGAACTCAGTAATGTTCTGTGACAATGTCGCTGTGTCACCACGATTCTGACACAGGGCCCCACATATCAAATAAAATATATTTATTTCTTAAAAAAGAATGTAAATGCATAAAATGAAGTTTACCAAACAAATGAGACACCGAACATTCTTATCTTGATCTTCAAGAGATTTGATCTTTTCTTTCAATGATGAAACCACTGGATCTGAATCAGTTAGACTTCTAGAACAAATAAAAATCTTCCACCTTACAGAACAAAAAGGGAATCTTGATAATAGAGGTAAAAACAAATATGTTTTCTTACTTTGATAACTCTGAGATTTCAGTATCTGAGTCTGTAAGAAAAATCCATGAAATAAGTATGATCTTATATCATAATAATAATTTTATTTAGAATATTACGAAATACTTTTAGTGAAAACACTGAAAGTATTTCATAATATTATTCCAAATATTCTCAACACTGAAGATAATAAAAGATTAAGACAATATGATATCAGAATTTACATATATTCTCCAGTCAATTTTAATTGATCTGCTCTAAATTTGTTACAAGCATGCACTTCACTAGAAGGAAAAGCGAGCTAAAGTAAGAACTCTCCTAGCCATTTGGCGGTGACTATGGTAACGAGGTGCAACTATTTCAAGTACTGTGGGGTCACTGTTTAGGACAGTCGGTTCGGTGAAAGAAAGGGAATTTTTTTTCTATTGTGCTAGTCCTAGATTGAAGAGAAACTACCCTCCAGGAAATGCGTCATTCATATTTCCATAGCAGCAGACGGCCTCAGTCAGGGGAGTTCTTATCATAGACAAACTATAGGTCACCATAACCTCAATCTAATAGCACTGCTTTGAGAAGGCAACAGTAATTTATCGATGCCAACCATCTCGAGGCTAAAAAATTTTGCTAAATGAAGAGACAAAATACTGCAGTAACTGCTAAACTACCTAATTTTCAAAATAAAAGTGTTAGGCCTGCATAAAAATAACAGAATACATGCCAACATTGGAGAAGATAAAAAATAACGGAGATTTTACAAGTGACATTTTTTAGGGCTTTTGATACATCATGCATCATCATGTCAGTCAAAAAGAGAAATTCAAAATTGGAAATAATATAAGCATTTACATTCAGCGAAGTAATAAATATATTTATAAATCTTAATATAAAGAAGATTTTTTGAACCATTATTTATAATTACTTAAACTATTAACACTCAAACTACTGCAGAACTGGCAATAGCACTATTTGTTGACGAATAAGTGAAGTATTTTTGCCATCAGCGAATATTTTATTACCAAACTTTTTTTATTAAAATTTCTTCAGCAAATACGGAGAAATTTGAGAATATACAGGTAAACAGGAGATAATCGTAAAATACTGGAGTTTTCGTTAAAAAACAGGAGACTTGACAGGCATGTAACAGGGAACCATACTTCCCGGAGGTGGAAATGGAGAAAATAAAAATATTACTGGTCTGTGGGTCAGTGACTAAAATATAGAACACATTTAATCAATCACAATTTATCAAATACTATCAATACACATTTTCCCTGGTCAGTGCCCTCTATTGCCCCCTTTTACCTATAAATGTTATCAAACTTATATGTATCTAAGCACATAAACAAAAAATTAATGTAAGAAGATAAAAGTAATTACTCACCTGCTTTAGACCATCTATGACTTATCTCTAAATTTTGAGGACGTGCAGATGAATCTCTGGTAGAAAAAAAAAATACAAACTTAATATTTTTGCAGGTAATGCATGATAGTTTTACTAACTCTTTTTTAAGCACACACGCTACTAACCCGAAATGCAACTTTTTTTCCAACCAAACTTTACAATGAAAACAATATCAGCACTATTATTTTAACTAACTAAAGTAATTTTGTAACTTAATGCTATAAAAAAATAAGAGTAAAAACTGGACATGTTTGCTATCATGACAAATTTCAAAGTCATTTTCAAAATGCTTATATTGTAGATACAAAAATTGAAGGAGTTAAAAATTAGTAAGGACTAAATCTAAATTTTTTGTAAAAACACATTTTTCTGAAGCATGAGCAATATTATACAAAAAGGGCTTATTTAATTTATTTCTGATATCAATACAAGAAAGCTAAAATCTATGATTGTTTCCTTGTGAATAGTTAAACCCCATATTTTTTTGATGTTATTCTCTTCTGGGCAATTAATAATTAAAATTAGAATCAATAATTAATAATTAAAATTAGCAATTAATAATTAAAATTAGTGACACTTATTTAAATATTCCAACAAGCAATAATCTGCACAAAAATTCTATTTCAATAGGAACTTTTTTAAGGAAACTTACTCAATTTTAGGGAATTTTCCAAAATGCACAAAAACCAGAATTTTTATTAAACCAGGAGAAACTGGCAAAATACTGTAGTCTATTGGAAAATGCAATTGAGTTTGCAGCTATGTACACGCATAAAAAAAAATAATAATAACGCATGCAGAATTAGTAGCTGTAGTAACTGGTAGGGCACTGGGCCCATGTCCAAAAGATCGCAGATCCGATTCCTGCTGGTCGAAAACTCCCCGTGTAGTAAATGGCACATTAAATCCGTTGAGTCACAAAGTCCTCCGTGTTCCCATAACAAATCACACCTCTGGGGATACTGATATGGAAGCTTCCTTGTCTTTTAGATTGGGTTTAAAAATATAAGACTACGGAGTTGGACATCAGTAGACGCAAACCCAAAATAGGGTCGACTGATCAACTACGGTTTTAAAATATAAAATTAAATCAAGTGACAAGGGGGAGCAATCATACTCATGGTTTTAGACCATGAGTCACCATTAATTCTATGGATAAAGTTCTGCCCATAGATAGCTCACTTCATTATTGAGTAATAACTTGTTCCGAAGCAAGCCGAGGAGAAATATTAAATCAATATGAATTTTTCATAAATTTAGATTTCATTTTTACTTGATTCAATTATTAAAAAAAGGACAGAATCTTGTACTAGTGTGCAGCAATATACCAACCTTATAAGGTGCACTGAAATTATGAAAACATTTCTTGAAAAATAATAGTATAGCTAACATTGAAAATAAAGCATGCCAATATATACAAATGAAATAAAAGTAATAATTACACGGCCTTTCGAAGCTGTTCCAAATCTGATCTATCTTTTTCAGAAGACGTGTTAGGAATCACATCAGAATATCAAATTTTAATTAAGGAAACATTGTAATTAGAGAAGTATACAATAACATGCTGTGGAGCTACAGAACGAATTTACAATGTAACTTTTAACCAATGGTTATCAAACAAATAGAGTTTGTTTGAAGTCCCATGCCATTCGTCTGGACCTGTGGCGGTGACTTTGGTAACGAGGTAAAACTATTTCAGGTAGGGGTGTGGGGTCACTGTTTAGGGTAAGTTTTGGCTCCAGTCAGCAAGAGAAATGAACTTTTTCTTCGGTCTATTGTGTTAGCTCTAGAGTGACGAGAAGCTACCCTCCCTGAAATGCGCTAGTCTTGTTTCCATAGCAGCATAAAGCCTCAGACTTTGTGGCAAGGGGAGTTCTTACCATAGACAAACTAGAGGTATAGTATAAAATGCAAATTGTCACTTTTATCTGGTTAAAAAACATTTTATCTGTTATCATACAAACATCATAAAAGCTTCCTTATAATATTATATACTTTTTTTTAATTGCAAATAGAGTAACTAAACTGTTTTTCAGCTAAATTTGTTCAGTTATTAGTACAAAATGATGCAGCAACAAACTGGGATTAGAAATCAAATATTCTGTCATTTGACTGCAAAATAAAAAACACCTGTTGGTCTAAAAACAAAATGAAGTATGAATTTTATAAAATTCTTTCACATTTTGCAAAAAAATATATTATTAAAAACCATTTTTTTTTGCAATCAAAAAACTTATATTAAAAAATTATTATGCTTAAAAAGTACTGAAAATAATAATAAAAGGAACACAGTTTAAGATATTTATTTATAGTGAAAGGGTTTCAAATTTAAATACTTAATTAGAGCAAAAATATTTCTTACTACTCTTTTATTATTTAAATAAAACAGAAATTAGCAGTTTAGGATTAACCCCTTTGAAAATAAAAAAGAAAAAGATGTGAAACTGCCCAGAAAAAATAATAATAATTCTATAAAATAATATATTCTTCTGCCACAAGGACCTTGAAATATCGAATTTTCTAGAATTCCATATTTCAAAGGCCTCATGGCAAAAGAAAGTTTTATTTTAGATAACTTATTGTATGTATTTATTTTCATTTTGCCTTTCAAATGATATTCCTCAAAAAATAAGTGCCAATTTCACTAATATATAGCCTGGCTGCGTGGCTAAATCTTTCAACAAAAAAAAGCTCCTTTTAAGTCATTTTAAGTACTCAAAAAATATTTTTATGCACTATGTACATTAACAAAACACAAAATACTTTTCATGATCATGATAAAATAATTATTTTTCTTGATTATATCAGTCACCATAAAAAGATCGAGAGATTTTTCTATTCGATTTCAGAGGGTGGAAAATGAAGACTGAAATTGAGAATATCTTGCAAAATGCAGCAGGGTAGCACGAGAGTGCCAAAATCTCACTGAACTCAGCTCAGTAGACTAGCAAGCATTTCATCAAACATGTAAAATAATTTGACCTTACTATTGACCTACTATTTTATTTACTATTTTGACCTTACTATTGACCTACAGTAGGTCAAAATGGATTGTGGTTGAATGAATTGTGAAAACGTTGAGTAGAACAATGTGAAAAGCACGCTTTTGCATAATATGTTTCGAAAATAGACATAGTAAAGAAAAAAAATCTTATTTTAGAAAAGAGAAAACTAAGCACTTTTTAAAAACACCCAATGAATAAAGCACCTTTAAGGTCTTTTAAAAAACGAAAATAAGCACCTTTAAACACTTTTCAAAAATGCTATGCACCAGATTCAAGCAACAATAATTGCTCAACATTAAATTATAAAAGTAAAGGTATCTTGTGCACCACAAGAAAAGTAAATGAAATTTCCAAATAAAAATCATCATCAATGGCTCGACAGCCCAGCAGGGTGGACCTACTCAAGAAGTTTTTTTTTTTTTCTTCCAGGCTAACCTTTTCCCTGCTAGTTTTACAAATAAAAATACCTTTATAAAATGACATTAAAATACAAATTAGGTATTGATGGAATAAAAAGGATACTGAGGGTCCCCATAGGCTATTGTATCATCAACATCTACATTCAGATCTTCATCTTCAGCTGTCTGTCTAAAAGAATCTCCATGCAGAGCTGTTAAAACATAAAGGAAATTAAAGAATTACAATTTCACATAAACACTGATTGCTCGGAATGGCAATTATAAAAATATACTCAGTTCCTTTCACACAAATTAAAAAATTACTTAAAATTCATTTTAAAGAACAAAAGATAATTTAAATGGAATTCAATTCAAATTTTACACAATCATTGATCACTTGAAATCAGGGTTGAGGTTTGTAGATGTCTTAAGCAAAATTTGGACAAGACTTATGGGTGTTCAAAACTGTCTTAGAATGTCCTTGAACGTTGGAGAAAGGTAAAAATTCTATATGAATAACTATTGTAATAACATAATTACATAGATTAATAGATATTTGAAACTTTTTATACAATTTGCTGTAACTTATTAATGGAAATAAGAAAAGATTTATAACTTATGAAGCTCCACAATTCAATGAACAACAAAAGTGAATACCTTTAAATATGAATAAATATGCTTTTAATACTGATACATTATGCTTTTGCATAAGGATAAATAATGCTATATTAAAAACAAACTTTTTTAATAAAACAAAAACTTTTCTTCATTCTGTTCAAAAATTAACCTTTCATTTTTCGCTTTTTTTAAAATTGTGACTAAATGGCTTCGGACAGGACGATTTAAAATGTGTCCTTGCCAGCTCTGCTTGCCACAAATAGACATAAAAAAATGATTATTTTAGAAATGAATAATTAAATTTAATTAATCAGATAAATTTTATAAAGGCAATTATAGTAAAAAAATATTATTTAAAGTAATTTTGAACAATATTATTGCACAAAAATCTATTTTATCGCACATAATATATACAAATGCATCATAATGAACTACTGAAAAAATGAAAGATAACAAATGAATCAATGCAATAATTTCATGGTCATTAAGTTATTTTTTAATTTTTGGAAATGGCTAAATAGAGACTCCCTTACCTTTTATACTTTTATTAAAGGTTTACAAATATACAGGGGTGATTGTGAACCTAACTCAAAAATCCTGAAATTTTCTTGAGTAAAATCATTAATAACCCATTTCAAAAAATTAATGTTTTTATAAATTTAAACCATTGATATCTTCAAAACATGAAATTCTAAATAAATTATATACAGCATAATTTAAATGAAGAATTATGTATAAGTTTACTTTTATCTCTAATCACATTTATTATTCTTCGAGAAAATATATTTATAAATGAAAGAAATGCCAAGTATAAATTCTAGTTCTAATATTTTTAAAGAAAATATACAAGAATTTTTATACATTAATGTGGTCAATGATTTCTTGAAACTTCTGGACCTTGGATTTCCAGAAACCTACGGAACATGGTTAGCGAAAAATCCGGAAATTCAGAGCACAATCATCTATAAATATAAAGTAATAAATTTTTTTTCTTAAAAAATCACACTTTAAACAAAGATAATTTTATGATATAAAAATATATTTGTAATATTAAAATTAATTGCACTTTTCAAGAATGTGTTTTTAAACAGTTAAATTATCCATCCCTAGTTTTAGAATGCATAGGAATTAGTAATAATGTAATTTTGATTGAAACTTATTAGCAGAGCAATATATTTATAAATAAAACTATAAAAATTTCATTGAAAGATTTTTTTTGTAAAAAAATTTTATTCAAACTAATGATTTTTAAAAATATTAGTTGATTTTAATTTATTTAACTCATTTTTGGAGAAAGGGGCACAAACACACCATTTAAATAAATAAAAAATTTATTAACACTGTGACGTATATTTTTCACTAATTTTATTTTTCTGCTATTGTCAAGGGTTCTTAAGACACCCCAAAAATTAATAGTAATTCAATTGGAGTAAACACTTTCTATTGAGAAATTTTAAAACTACAAAAGCTTTTCAACTTAAAATGGTTATTGACAAATGAAATTTTTTGAAAATGTATAATTAGTCCTTTTGAGATTTATTATTAGGTTCTTATGATGGATTAAAGTTGCAAGTCAGTAAATGAAAAAATTCCATAGAAAAAGCAAGTGTTTAACTAAATGGTTTGTTCATTAATTTGGTGAATGGTGCCTATACGCCCCATTTTATTTCTTAAATAAAATATAATTTTTCATGCATGAAACTTTTTTGTGTGTCTTAATGAGTGTAATATAAGCATATTTCAATGAAAATAACACCACATTTTATAAAATGTATATGGTTGGCCTAAAATGAGTTAAGTCAAGTTGATTTAACACGTTGAATGCCATGGGGGTCACTGGTGACTGGCTATCCTCACAGACAAGAAAATGAATTAATAGAAACGAAGACTATTATAGGTTATTTTATATTACAGCCCATTGTTGAACTGCTGGCCCGATTTTTGTCTTTACGACTACCGTGTTCAACTCCGTAGCCTTATAATTTTATCCCGAGCATCTCTTTGGGAGGTTCTAATAATCCCTTAGCCACCATTGTTCTAACAACAGATAATGTTTGTTCTATAACCGTCGTTGAACAGCCGACACAATTTTTGGGTTTACGACTACTAATATTCAACTTCGCAGTCTTGAAATTTTGATTCTAATCCAGAAGACAAGGGAACTCTTCGATCAAATTTTGGGAGAAATTTGCCTTCGCGGAGGACTTTTTGATGAAACCAACCCGCATTTGCGTTACATGGTGAGAAAAACCTCCCACGGTTAGCCTGACAGTAAGGGGACTCTAACCTATGGTCCGTCTACCACTGTCTAATGTCAGCGCTATGGTCGGTCCGAACAGGGTGCGGAATTCGCTCCCGGTTCACTTCATTGGAAGTTGAACGCTCTATTCCCTGAGCCACCACGGCTCATTGCATGTTATTTTACTTTATAGCCGTTGGTGAACAGCCAATCCGAATTTGAGTTTACGGCTACCAATGTTTAATTCCGTAATTTGAAATTTAGAGCTCAACCTAGAAGACAAGGAAACTCCTGGATCTAGCATTGGGAGAAATTTAGTTTCGAGGAGGACATTTGATGGTACTAACCGCATTTGCGTTGCATGCAGAGGAAACCTTCCCATAATTAGCCTGACGGTAAGAGGACTCTAACCCATGATCTATATACCACTGAGGATAAATTACGTAACAATACAGGTTATTAGGTGGTTACCATTACTACGGGAGTTTAAAATGTTCGAGATATAGCGAAATACGAAAAAAGTGAAATTAACATTAAGGAGTCCAAAATATTGGGACCCTATTTCCCAGATTGTGGCTCCCTCTATTTTGGAGATCAGAACAAGATATGCTTATTCAGAGAATAAACATACTCAGAATTACGTTTTTGTGTCTGATTTCGTAACTTGAAATATCGTCTGCACTAAATAATAAGCATACTTAAAGTCACCCCCTTCGAACCATTAAAATTGAGTCCCAGAACGTTAAGATCCGATCATTAGATCAAAAGTTATTCAGGGTGGTCTGGTTTTTTTTATTTTTGGTGCACTGTACATTAATATGTGCACTTTAGTTTGTGTCAGTTTCATTTAATTCTGCATGTTAACTTTTTGAATCAGTCATTTTTGTAATTTTTATTTTCGATAATCAGTGTGTATCTCGAAGTGCTATTTTTTTTGAAGTGTAGTGCTATTTTTTTTTAACCGGAATGCAAGTCCTTGCATTGTAGGGAAGGCAGAATCAAAAATTATAAAAGATAACTAGGAGGCTCTGCCCCCTGCTCGCTAACGCTCGCCAACTCCCATAGAATTGCTACGCAATCCTATGTGGTTCACGCCGTGAACCATGGCTCGCTGCGCTATCGCTCGCCAATGTCGCTTCTAGCACAGAGACATAATATATTATCATCAAAGACATAGTATTTTATCATCAAAGACATAGTATTGTACTTATGTAGAAGAATTCTACCAATGTTCTTATTGGTTTTTAAAAAAGTATATTAGCTATTTAGATTGTACATTGTGAAAAAATCAAAACATTAGCTAAATAAGAAAACATATTAGTAAAATAAATTATCAAATATTGCTTCACTAATATTCTGCATTTTAAAGCGTGAAAATTCAATACAAAAATTAACGCGAAATATAAAAAAATTCAATGCATTCAATACAAACACTTAAACGTTTTTTAGACGTTTAGGTAGCTACCAGTAGAAAAATATCAATTCAACAGCGGCCTTTTAAAGCATTCTCACTTCAATTAATTAATTCCTAATTGAGTTTAAATTAAATATTGTCATGTTTTTAGTGCATGAATCTGAATTGAGCAACCTGATAATGCTCACTCTGGTTATTCTTATCTGGTTGCTCACTACGTGCTCTTGCGTGCCGAATCCAATCAATTAAAAATGAAAACTGTTGCCAGCACGAGAAAAGAAATATCATCGGTTTTATTGATACATACATACGTACGTATTAGCGTTTTATATAATATAGATAGATATCTGATGTACTTTTGTCAAATCATTTGAAGCTATTGAAGCAGTTTTTTTTCTTCTTTACTTAAGTTTGCTTATTTCTATAGCTTCTATAGCTTTCTCATTTCCCCAAAAACAATTCTAAAAATATTTTTATTTGCACATTTTTACTTTTTCTCAGTTAAAAATAAATTTATAAATGTAGGAGAGTTGTTGTAGTTGTAGTTTATTTGCGTCGCACTGGAGCTGCACAATGGGCTATTGGCGACGGTCTGGGAAACATCCCTGAGGATGATCCGAAGACAAGCCATCACAATTTTAATCCTCTGCAGAGGGGATGGCACCTCCGCATTGGTAGCCCGACGACCTGCACGCAAAGTCGAGCACTTTACAGTAGAACAGTTTAACGAGGACCAATACCGCACAACCTCGATCCCTACCTAGACTAATCCAGGTGGTCACCCACCCGCACAGTGACTGCAGCCAGTGATGCCTAACTTCGGTGACCTAGAATAGAAGTGAGTTAGGAAAAAGAAACTAAACATCTTTTTCATTTGTAGAGTAAAAGAAAGATTCAAATTTAATTACTAAATGCAATTTTTTTGTCTTTCAATAGAAAAATTGTTTTAAAAATAGTAACGAAAATAGGAAACAAACACTGTTAATAAGGTCAAGCAAGCCGTAACAGCGAGTTAGCAACCAGCAGGTTAGCGCTTTTCGATTCGAGTTCTAAATTTCCAAAGAGTTTCGCATTAAGGTTAGAGTCAACTGTGAATACTGGGGTAAGTGAATCAATTGAACAGTTGATTTTATTCAGTAAATTTTGTTCTGTTGAATCTAGTCTCAAAATGATACTAAAAAAAATTTTTTTTTGGATTTTGAAAGTTTTAAAAATGCTCTGAAAAACTTTAGTAGGCTAATTTTTAAATGCAAAAACTGCTTAAATTTGGTAACCAGGTACATAAAGAGATTTCAATGAATAAAAAGAATTACATAAAATAACGGAATTTAGCTTGATAATGCTAGTACACAATGAGAAAAATTCTTTAACCGACGCAGATCGGACACCGGGTATTACTTATTTTCAAGCTCTCTAATTAAAAGTAAAATATATATTTTGAATTCGAAAAACAATGGAGTAGTTACTGAAAAATTGGTACTTTATACTAAAATATAAAATCCTATTACAAAATATTCAGTCATATTTTTAAGAAATTTGATTTTATAAATTACCTGTAATATTGGAAAATTAGGATTGATGTTTAATAATGGTTTTAAAAAGATCTCCGCCCCCACCTCAGCATTTGGAAAATTCTGAAGCAACTAAGGAAACCCTTTCAGCAGTTAATTTAATTCTTTAAATTTTGCTCTATTGAACCTAGTCACAAAATTTTACTCAATTTTTTTGAAAGTTTTTAAATTAAATTTTAATTAACTTTATTAGTCTAATCTTTAAATACAAAAACTTTTTAAATTTGGAAACTAGGTGTAAAAGATCTTTCAATGAATAAAAAGAATTACATAAAATAACGAAACTTACTACAAATACGCAATTCCTTAACCTTTGACGCAGATGAGACAGTTTCCCTTTTTTATATTCCTGACGCCTTAATTGCAAGATATTTTTCGGTATAAAAAATCATAAAATCAATCTAATATTTACTAAAAAATCTCAAATAATCTGAAATCTATTCTGAAAAATATAATCCAAAAAGTAGTTTTAATTTTTTTAATTTGTAGTCAAAAATTTTATAATTGATTTTGTTAATTAAAGAAACTTCAATGATGAATTACTATTTCTTAGATATAATTTCTAATAAGTGTAAATTTAGAAGAGAGCAGCGTTACAAGGATTTTACCTTTACAGCAACAAAAACAAACATTGCCATTCTCTATTTCATAACCATAAATGATCAAAATGCTAAATATTTTATTTTCATTTGCTTTGACTTTACTTTTTAATGAAAAATAAAAGAGTCACTTCATTAACTTTTTTGGAAGTGTGTACTCTTTAGTCAGTAGAATGCTTATCATAATGGAGAACTTATATAACCAAAATATTACGTTCTAGTAATGATGGAAAATTAAAATTGAAATTTAATAAAGGTTTCGACAAGATCTCTTCCCAGCCCTTCAGCATTTGGAAATTTAGAATTCTGTAGAAACTAAGTAAGCCATTTGAACAGTTGATTTCATTTAGTAAATTTTGTTCCATTTAACCTATTCATAAAATTTAAATTTTTTTAAATTTTTTGAAAATTTTAACCATGCTTTAAAATTTAAGAAACTTTATTAGTCTAATCTTAAAATACAAAAACTTTTTAAATTTGATAACTTGGTTCAAAAGAGATGTCGTGGAACAAAAAGAATTAGATAAAATAACGGAATTTAGTTTGCTAACCAACTAATACACAATGAAAAAAATTCTTTAACCTTTGACGCAGATGGGACATCGGTATCCCTTTTATATATTTTTAAATCTCTCTAATTACAAGTAAAAATATATTTTGTTACTTTTAATTCTATAAACAGTTTAGTAGTTACTAAAAAATCGGTTAGATTATCGGTACTTGGTACTAAAATAAAAAATCCAAATAAAAAATTTGTCACATTTCAAAAAATTGATTTTGTACATTACATAAATTTAAATGATGAATAACTGTTTCTTAGATGTAAATAACTGAAAAGGAAAGCAAATTTGAAAATGGAAGTGAGTCGCGGTTTAAAACTTTTACCTTTACAGGAGCAAAAAGTACTGTCTCATTCCGTATTTTATAATAAAAAATTAAAATGCTTAATATATTTTTATTCGTTTTGAACTTAATACAATTAAAAGGTATGAAATATATCTATATAACAAATTTTTGACACAGTTTTCCATTGCTGTCGGAG